ATCTCTCTGGCTTTTCCAATTTGCCTCTTCTAGACACTATATAAGTGGACTCCCAGAGCATGTGGTTCTTCCAGCCTCTTCCCCTCAGCAGAATGACTGACACTCCTTCCTCAGTTGCTTGGTTCTTTTGCCTGGTGTCAGACCTGGCTGTGTTGACCAGGGACCCTGCACCCTCCAGCACCCCACAGCCTCAGCTCCCTGTGTTCCTCCTGACTCACTGAGATTGTATCCCTGTTTTCCTGCTCAGGCTAAATCTCTGAATGATGATGATAGCAGCCACAGGCCTTGGATATGGCACTGTATGATTTACAGTTAACAGGAAATATATATATTTTTAAGGTGGGCTCTCATGTGGTCCAGACCAGCCTGAACTGGATATTTACCAAGGATGACCTCGAACCCCAGACCTTTCTGTATCACTCACATACCAGGATGCAGGCTCCATACCTGGCTTAAGTGTTGCTGAGGCTTCATGCATGCTAGGCAGGCATTCTATTAGCTGAGCTGTCTCTTTGGTCCCAGTTCGTGTGAATTCCAACTACAATCCTGAGATAAGGAAACATCCATCAACAGTCATCAAGCCCCACCCTTTCCTGCTAGCAGAAAGGACTGGAGTTATTCCACCTGCCCACTCTGCCAGGCTTTGATGGCTTCTCTGTCTCCCAGCGTAATGACCTCAAATGACTCAGTTAACCTGTACCTCCACTTCACCGAATGAAAACTGGAATTAATAAGCACATGCCTTGTAGAGTTACTACAGAGCTTAAAGGTGCTAAGTGGGGCAGTGTGTAGCTCACATGGTACACAATGAGCACTGATTTCCTGGATAGAGAGCAAAGGGGAAGGGAGGAAGGAAACAGGACAGGCATACAGCCCAGGAAAGTCAAGAGGACACAACACTGAGATAGGAGGGCAGCCTGTTTCTTTAATCATCTCTACAAACTCCTGAGTTGAAGATTTCATACCTGCAGGCCCTCGGTCAGACCCAGCAGCCTCTCTGTGGCTGGTGCCCAGCTTAGGCTCTCACTGAGACTTGCTGAGTGACTGGCATAACTCTAATGACTCTGCCACACGTTGTGGGTGGGAAGACCTCTTCCTATCTCTAAGCTGGTGACAATTCTCTACTTCTCTCTGGTTTAGGGTTCTTTTAACCATCAGGGCTCATAGACTGGTGGAGACTGGTGGAGACTGGTGGAGACTGGTGGAGACTGGTGGAGACTGGTGGAGACTGGTGGAGACTGGCAGAGGCTAGAAGAGAGGAGTTCCTGAACCCAGCGCCTCACTCTGTATGGCTTCAATCAGTCTTGACCTGCAGCCTTGCTCCTGGCTCTCAAAAAGTCACCTTTCTTGTCAGCCCAAACTATATCTCCCGCCCCCTTCACCCCATGTCTCAAAAGGCCTAGGATTTACTTAGTCCTAGCTGAGTGTCAAGGACGCTTCCTCCACACACCAGGAGCTCAAGAAGGAGTTATAACTCAGATCTCCATTTCACAGACCATGGAACAGTGGCGGAGGGTGAGCTGCTCAAAGCCCGTGGCTCAAAAAGGATGTGGGGTCAGTGCAGAAGCGCCCTCAGATGAGAGACATTTTGGGTGACATCTGTTAGGTACACCAGTGTGCCAGTGTTTAGTTGAATCTGTTTTTATTTGTTTTGTTTGTTTGTTTGTTTGTTTGTTTGGTTGGTTGGTTTTTTTCGCGACAGGGTTTCTCTGTGTAGCCCTGGCTGTCCTGGAACTCACTCTGTAGACCAGGCTAGCCTCGAACTCTTGAACTCAGAAATCCACCTGCCTCTGCCTCCCAAGTGCTGGGATTAAAGGCGTGAGCCACCACCGCCCAGCGAATCTGTTTTTAGTTCTTTTGATTTCATACCCAGGAGTGGGGCTGTTGCCACAGTCACACGGTAACTGTCTCACTTCTTGAGACCTGTGAGCTGTGTCCCAGAGGAGCTGCACCTTTACCATTCCTTGCAGCAGTGGGTGAGAGTCCAGTCCTCGTGTCAACAATCCTTCTTCACTGGAGATGAAGCCTAGGACCATGTGCTTGCTAGGAAAGTGTGCTACCACTGATAGTACTGCCCTCAGCCCTGGAGACGCTCTGATAGATTGCTCAACCTAGCCTTGAACCTGAGCATCTCTTGCCTCACCTTCCCAAGTGTTGGAAAATACTCCTGGTTGTCCCCTCTTTTAAATTAATTACATTTATTATTATTATTCTGTTTGTGTGCATGTGATGCAGATCCAGGGAACTCGTAGAGATCGGAGGTCACTTGTGGAGTCAGTTCTCCATCGTGTGGTCCCGGGGCTTCGACTCAGGTTATCAGGCAGAAGCAGCGCTACCTTCTGAGCCATCGTAAAGGCTTTCTTTCCTTTTCATTTAAAAAGTTTTAAAGATTTATTCATTTTTATTTTATGTGTAGAGGTTCTTCCTGCATGTTTGTGTGTACACCATGTCATGCCTGGTGTCCTTGAAGGTTAGAAGAGGGCATTGGAACAGGGACTATGGGTGGTTGTGAATCTGGGAACTGGGAATTGAACCCAGATCCTCTGTAAGAACAGCAAGTGTTTTTTTTCTTTTGTTTTGTTTTTATTTTTGGTCTTTCTTCCTTCCTTCCTTCCTTCCTTCCTTCCTTCCTTCCTTCCTTCCTTCCTTTCTTCCCTTCTCTCTTTCTTTTTTTGAGACAGGACTTTACATGTATCCTGGTTGTCTTGGAAATCACTCTGTAGACCAGGCTGGCTTCAAATTTAGAGATCCACCTGCTTTTGCCTCCTGAATGCTGGGATTAAAAGTGTCCACCACCAGGCTGGAGAGATGGCTCAGTGGTTAAGAGCACCAACTGCTCTTCCAGAGGTCCTGAGTTCAATTCCCAGCAATCACATGGTGGCTCACAACCATTTGTAATGGGGTCTGATGTACTCTTTAGGCATGTCTGAAGACAGCTACAGTGTACTCACATAAATAAAAATTTAAAAAATTTTAAAAAGCCTTTACGACTGAAGACTGGAGCAAGAAATGTTAACTGCTGATTTACCTCTCCAGCCCCTGGTTTTCTTTTCTTAATCCTTCTGAACTGATTGTGTTGATATAACTACATCCTAGAGTAGGAAGGATTGGGCCATGACATTCCAAGGTAGGGATTTGAGCCAAGCACTGGACTCAGCTCCTGATTTCACTATCACCAGCTGTAGAGCCTCCAGCAAATTGTAGAGCTTTTCTGAGTGTCAACTACAAGTACTCCTCGCCTACAGAATAGGGATAATTACCCTTCACATGGCTACTTCTCACGGATTTGTTTGTACTCATTCACTTTATCTGTGTCTCTTGCCAAGTGGAAACTCCTATTACCACGACGACTACAGTGTCTCCCTGATGGGAGAGTCTGTCTCCCAGACTCTCATATTAACTGATTTTTATGATAGAATTTCTCTGTGTGTAGCCATGGTTGTGCTGAAGCTCACTCTGTAGACGAGGTTGGCCCTGAATTCACAGAGATCCATCTGCCTCTGACTCTCAAGTGCTGGGATTAAAGATGTGTACTACTACCATGCAACCTCATTTTTTTTTAATTGAAGAGTCATATGACATAATGTTTTTTGTTATTATTTGACCAGGGGTCCTAAGTACTTAGACCCCCCAGCCTCTATCTCCCAAACGTTAGGCTTGCAAGCATGTGCCACATGCTTTTATTTGGGGCTAAGGATCCAACCCAGGGCTTCACAAGGATCCTTGTAGGCAAGGATTCTACCAACTAAGCTGCTTCTTCAGCCAAAATAGCCATTTAAATATCTGTGTGAGGGCAGGCAGTGGTGGCACACACCTTTAGTCCCAGAATTCAGAGGCAGGTGGATCTCTGTGAGTTCCAGGCCAGCCTGATCTACAGAGTGAGTTCTAGGACAGGAAGGACTACACAGAAGAACCCTGAATTGAAAAAACAAAAAAACAAAATTTAAAAAACCCTGCAAAAAACTAAAAACACCAAACAAAAAGATCTTTGTATGTTTGCATATGGTGCTGTGTAAGTGGGGGTACCTGTGTGCTGCACATGCAGGAACCAGGGCACACCCTTATGGTCAGTCCTCTCTGCTACCTTGTTTGAGGCAGAGCCTCATTTCTGCTCTGATTGACAGGCTAGCTGGCCCTTGATTTCTGGGAAATTTCCTCTCTCTACTTCTCATCAAAATTGAATTGGAACTGGGCCTAGAAAGATGTCTCAGCAATGAAGAACTTGTATTGTTCTTACAGAGGTCTTAAGTTCAGTTCCCAGCACCCGTGTTGGGTGGCTCACATCCAGCTACAATTCCAGATTTAGGGGGATCTCTGACACCCTCTTCTCTCCTCCAAGGGTTTCTTCACACATGTACACACACACATGAGAGAGAGAGAGAGAGAGACAGAGAGAGAGACAGAGAGAGAGAGACAGAGAGAGAGAGACAGAGAGAGAGAGACAGAGAGAGAGAGACAGAGAGAGAGAGAGAGAAATGAATTTAAAAGGAGAACTTCAATTATAGACAGGCTACCGTGTTTCTCTTTTATATTGGTTCAGGGAACCTGAATTCACAGGTTTGTACAGCAAACACTTTCCCCATTGAGCTGTCTCTCCTGTCCAAATTAGCCAGTTTAAATAAACAGTGCAGTGGTGCTGACACCATCACTTTGATGGAGTTTCAAACATCTTCATTTCAGAAGGAAACCCCATATCCAACCAGTTGCCATGCCCTGTGCTCCTCCCCTTGTTGCCTGGAAACTGCGTCTGCCTTCTGGATATGAACACCTGCCTATTCAGGGTATTTTGCACCAACAGGATCTTTAATTATGCTGTCTGTTGTATCTGGCTTCTTTCCTCAGAATACAATTAAGGATGCAAACTTGGAACCTGAATTCTGTCTGACAAAGTCTCACCTACCCTCCATGAGTGGATATATCCCGTCCCAAGGGAGAAGAGGGGACATGGTATCTAGGAGGAGAGGTGGGGTCTAGAGTGCCTCTCCAGAAGGAGGCTTTACCTTTTCTGCGGCTCTCTCGTTGCCTTCTATCCTCTTCTGGATCTTGATATTTTGCCACATTTCCTCAGCGGGACGTTTGTTCCCGTAGCTATCCTCTACCAGCTGTGTGGTTGTGGGTTTGTCCTGCAGCTCAGCCAGTTTGGCCTCTATCTTGTCAATGCGGTCTACCACATGGTCAAAGATGTTGCTAAGCCTCTTCATTGGGTTGATGATGGGCTGGGCATCTCCTTCCCTGGGCATAATCACCACCGGCGAAGTTTGAAGGAAATCCTCTTCCCCTGAAAGGACTTTTTTGAGCTCAGAGATTTGGATGTGGTCTAGGATGCCCTGGAGCACAAGATGAAGGGCCTTGAAGTTCACTACCCCACACTGTGGTATGGCTACGTTGACCAGCTCGGTGAATGTGAGAGAGAAGCTCATCCTGCCAGGGGATGGATTGATGTGGCAAGGCTTCTGGGCGTCCTTGAGGACAAGTAGTGGCTTTCAATTATCTGAACTGCTACACCAACAGGTCCTGAGAGGCTTGGTGCGGCAAGTCACAGTGGTCAGCAAGGAATGATCTCTGTCCTTGTCAGAGCTCAGACCAGGGCTTCTGGTTGCTAGGATGCCAGAGAACATGGTGGAGTGGGCATGCTTCCGAGAACCCAGTGTGGGGTGGGTGTTCAACGGTGAGCTGGCTCAGAAGAAGTGCTCAATCAATATTTGACAAATGCTTCAGGAGCGAACGGCAGCCTTTCATTCGAGCCCTCTGATTAATTTAGGCTTATGCCTCTAAGTGACACACAGAGGTGAGGGAAGGAAGCTCGGTCCTTGGAAGTCACTGAAATCAGAACAGAATACAGTTTTCTTGGAGTCAGAAGGTCCAAGGTTTTAAGACAAGAAGATGAGAAAAGAACCTAAAGGGTTAAGCTGGTTTCTGGATGTGGTCAAAGACACCTTTACTCACCCCACCAGCAGCCCAGGCACTTATTCCTGAAGAGGGAGAAGGCACACAGGTAAGAAGGTCAAGGTATGATCTAGTATCAAATGTTCCAGTAGCCCAGGTGATAATGTCTCTTGAGTGTTGGGTTTCATTGCTCCCTGGGTGGGTGGATGTGGGGCAGGATGGCACACACTTCTAGTACTCAGGAGGCAGAGGCAGGTCAATTACTGAGTTTGAAGCCAGTCTCATTTAGAGAGTGAGTTCCAGAAGAGCCAAGGCTACACAGAAAAACTCTGTTTTGAAAAACAAAAACAAAACAAAGAAAGAAAGAAAAGGAAAGAAAAATCTGTGGGCTTCATATATCCTTCTAAGGTGTGCCTTAGGGTTCTCCAGAGAGAACAACAGACAACAGAATGCAGTGATGGAGACACATGAGGGGTTTATGAGCACTCCTTTTGTGATTATGGAGACTGAAGTCTCGTGACAAACTGTCTGCAAGCTGGAGACCCTTGGAGGCTGGCAGTGGGACTTGGGCCAAGTCCCAAAGACTTCATAACTAAGGAAGCCCATGGTTCCTTAGACTAAGTCCAAGGTCAAAGGTTTCCTGAGGAACTGGATAGGGAAAGCACAGGTGTAAATCTTGGAGTCCAAAAGCAGGGGACGAGTGCCCAGCTCTTGGACATAAATGAACAACTTGTCCTTTCTTTTTATTTTATTTTTATTTCTGGTATGTATGTATGTCCAGGAGTTGGCTTACATTCTGCTTACTGATCTTGGCCATCTGGCTGGCCAGCAGAGTCCTCAGAATTTGCCCATCTCTGTCCCCTGGTCCTGGAGATAGGCATATGCCAACATGTCTGGTCTACAGAGTGAGTTCCAGGAGAGCCCAGGCTACATAGAAAGAAAGAAAGAAAGAAAGAGAGAGAGAGAGAGAGAGAGAGAGAGAGAGAGAGAGAGAGAGAGAGGAAGAAAGGAAGGAAAGAAGGAAGGAAGGAAGGAAGAAAGAGAGAGAAAGAGAGAGAGAAAGAAAGAGAGAGAGAGAGAAAGAAAGAAAGAAAGAAAGAAAGAAAGAAAGAAAGAAAGAAAGAAAGAAAGAAAGCAAAAAGAAAGGTTTATGAAGAGTTTATGAGCACTGCTTTTTGTGGTTATAGAGACTGAAGTCCCATGACAAACTGAAAGCTGGAGACTCTTTATATGCATGCCAGGGATCTGAACTCAGATTCACATTCTTGCATGTCGAACACTTTACCCACTGAGCTGTTTCTCAATCTCACCACCACATGCCCTTTAATGAATGCCTCTCTGGTCCCCACTACGCTGAGAGATGTAAAACTTCAAGCCACCTTTATATTTGAGTTACACAGGGCCCTTGACTTCCCTTGAAAGAAATGGCTCAACCAAGGGGAAAGGCTTCTATTTGTCTACTTCCTCCACCAGTCAGACCAGCTATGCTCAGACTTGCCCATCTCATTGCTAGGGTTCTCTTCCTACGAGCTCTTGGAAAATATTTAAACAACCCACCACATCTTTCCGTGGGAAGCTGAAAGTACATTATGCTCTGGCCACCACAAAGCCTGCTTCCCACATGCCTGCTGGTTCCCTGTGCAACCAAGTACATCTGCATGTCCTCACATGGGCTATGAGTACATATGACTAATGAACTGTCATACTCATCCAATGTCACCAGTATTGGATGTTTGGCCATCTTGCATTATGAAGGGTGGCCAAACAGCTACAGGCTATGTTTTGCCTTGATGCAATGAGATAGTACCCCCAAATTTGCAGCTACAGGTGGTTCCAAGTGGTCCTGGAGGAGAAAACTGAGTTTGTTAACTTAGGACTATGTTTCTGTGGCCTAAGTCATGTGTTAAGTAAATATTTAAGGGAGAATCTCCACTCTAACTGGGCAAAGGCAGACAATGGGGAGTGTAACAGTAAGACAGGTTATGCCTGGAGCCATACAAACACAGCTTGGTCATTCAGAGCCAGGGTATCTGGTGATATCTTAATGTTTTAAAAAAATGTATTGGATATGTGTGAGTACACTGCCACTGTCTTCAGACACACCAGAAGAGGGCTTCGGATTTTATTACAAATGGTTGTGAGCCACCACGTAGTTGCTGGGAATTGAACTCAGGACCCCTGGAAGAGCAGTTAGTACTCTTGATTTCTGAGCCATCTCTCTAACCCCCGTGATATCTTAATTTTAAGAGTGTTGGCGTGCTTTGTCCTTACACAGCTCAGAGATGGACTCTTGAAATAGAGGCAAGCAAGAAATGAAAAGAAGACACAGACAGACAGGGAAATGCTGGGGTCAGATGGTCTGGGCTCTCAGATCGGGGGACCTCAGCACTCTGGATGTCCAAGGTGTGTGTTACAGAGAGCTGAACAGAATGTTGGGGGTAGTGCATACAACTGAACGAGGATAGGGGAGCAGTCTTCAGGCCACAAATGCCCTGGGAGAAAAAGCTATAATGACTATTTTCTGCACACATGGACCAGAAGAGAAAGCTTTGCTGTCCCTCTGAGCCTCGTCATCGGGGTAAGGCTTTTTTTTTTCCATTTCTCTCTGAGTCTTGATATGGCTGTGTCTATAGCCACAGCATTTACTAGGGACTTCATCTACTCAGGGCTTCTCCACTCTCCACATCAGTCCCTCTCCTAGCTCTCAGATGTTCGGGATGGGTCTTCATGCTTAGTCCAAGGCGGTTCAATGCTTAACGCCAGACCACAAGGCTAAGAAGGATCCTAACAGTTGCTATGCCCATCAGAAACAAAATGAGTTTTAGCAGATTTAAGGAATTGTAGCCTTGAAACTTGACAAAGCTTGTCAAGGATCCTTCTCACAATACGAGTGGAAGAAAACAATCTGATCACAAACTTTTTGCTTTTCCAAGATGTGCCCACATAATTGACCATACCCATAATATTACACCTGGAGCCATCCAGGAGATGGGTCCCAGTTAATTCCCAATTATTCTGTCGAAATTGCAGGGCTGTAGCATCCAGAATAAACAGAGTTAGTTGGGACTCCAGATGGTTAGAGCAGTAGCCCCCCCAGGACCCCCAAACAGAAGGACTCATTAGTATAAATAGGTGTGGAAGGGTGTGACCACACTACTGGGTGAAAGAGCATCCACCCAATAGGTTTCTCCCTTGACCACACTACTGGGTGAAAGAGCATCCACCCAGTAGGTTTCTCCCTTGACTGCCTTAAATTCAGGGAGACAAATACAAGACATAGCATTTTCCCTTCATCTGACTATTCACAATGTGCGCCTTCTCACCCTGACGAGGGCGCTGCAGCCACTGAGGTGGTTGTCCCCTGTGCGCTTGCCAACCCCCACCCTGGCCGCTTGGCAAGACCGCATAGGCTGCACTTAGGGTCCAGGCTCTGGCCGATCACGCTGCAGCTTGAAGCCCACGCAGCTGCCTGAGTCTGCACACATCCGCCCCTGCTCGCTGGATTTTTTTTTCTCCTAAATGTAGCATGAAAGCAGTTAAACTGAAAGCAAAAATGGCAACATGCTCAGGTTCCAAAATTGTGTACCCACACTTAATCCTTTTCATATTTTAAAATTTATTTTTCAGGTAGCTAAATTCACCCCTCCCCCTTCCCTAGAAACCTTGAAGCAGCAAATGGCCTCCACTTCACTTCTGAGTTTTCCCAAAATATCTTTCCTGTACTGACATTCAACCCCCCTCTCTCTGGGTTTTACTTATCTCAAAACACTTTCAAAGTACTAACATATAACTGGCCGCCTCTAGCTCCCACCTGTCCCAACAGTTTACAGTGGGGGCTTAGCCCTGCGTGTTCTCTTCTTTAATATTTTTACGTCTGTTCCTTCCTTCCTGCTTTTGTTTCTTCTTTCACCTGTACAAGCTCTCTCAAGAGCGTTCCAACTTTCCCACCACGGGGCACTGTACCTTCCAATGTGAGCCAAACAAACTCAAAGCCCTTCCAGAATACTGTTCTTTTGAAAATATTCCTTTCTCATCCACTATATTCGGGTTACAGTTTCCTGCACCCTCTCCCCTCCCAGTTCCTCTCTACTTCCCCTCCGCTCCATGTCCTCTTCCCTTCTGTCTCTCCTTAGAAAAGGACAGGCTTCTGAGAGATGACAATCAAGCACAGCAAAATAAAACACAATAAGATATAGCAAAAGCCATCGCATCAAACCTGGCAAATCGGACAAGGTAACCAGACAGAAGGAGAGTCTCAAGAGGAGGCACAAAAGCCAGAGACACCGTCTGCTTTTGTCGCAGTAACAGGAAGGACCTGAGAAACACAAAGCACCATGCTAGATGTACACTGAGATGCTTGATGTACAGCCCAGTGTGGGTTCATTTAAAAAAGGGGGGGGGGCAGAGAGAGAGAGAGACAGAGAGAGAGAGAGAGAGAGAGAGAGAGAGAGAGAGAGAGAGAGAGAGAGAGAGAGGAGAGAAGGAGGGTCAGAAGTTCAAGGGCATCCTTGCCACACAGCAAATACGAAGCTAG